AAAAAAAAAAAAGAAAAAAAAGAAAAACAGTAGCTCTGTTTGGTTAGCCCAAAAATGGTGCTTGCAAGTAAGAGTGATCATTTCTCATTAAATCTCTGTAACTTTTGCAGTTCTCTGTATGCTTTCACATTATTATTCCACCTTAGATGATAAAGTAAATGTCTATTTTATTCTGTTCTATTCTATTCTAAATTTCTCCTGAGGTTGGGTCCATTGCATTAAATATCCGCTTTGTCAGCTAGTAATTTTAGTAATACATTTTAAGGTCATAGGACTGGTAGAATACATTAAAGGTTTCTTGTATATATTTAAACAGATGTACAGTGGTTTCAAATTTATATAAATTTAAGATTATTCGATGCATAGCATTAAACCTCAGCGTCTCATTTTGACCTAATAAAACAGAAGTGAAGATATCTCATGCCCCAGTTGACGAAAGCGGATTATACGGACAACTCAGGTTGCTCCACAAAAGTACTTAACATGAAGTAATTACTGTTGGCATGCTCACTCCGTAAGACAGTAATCTCTCCGAAATAACAGGTCACGTCAGGAGCACGCTCAGGCTAATCAAATTGTCTGCAGTAGTTTACTTTAATCCTTTGACTTGTGTTTTTTTTTTCCCCCCCTTATAGGATCCATACCTTGTGCACATACTCGGATCACATATTTCTTCGTGCTCAATGTGGCACAAGGACTTCCCTCTCTTCAAGAAGTGGATGAACTCAGGAAATATGTGAATATTTCTATTATTTAATGTTTTTATGTGTCTGTCTTGTTGGTATACCCTGTTTTGGAACTTTTCAGCATTTAAACTGCAACCAGTGTTAGTTTTTTTTTTAGAATGTTAAACTATATATGTTGAATTGTTGGAATTAACCAGTTTTTTTTTTCATAGTCTTAGTTTTCTATGTGATGCCTTGATATTTCGAGGGTAAGTCTGGAATTCCGCTAGTTCTGAACTATTCACGTTTGGCAAAAGTTCACTACTAGCAGAACTCAGATTTGCTCCCGATAAACGACGGGAATGACCAGTGGGGATGGTCTTATTCAGGCAACAGATGGTATACATGTGCGATGCCTCTTGGAGAGTGCTGTAAATTACTCTGGTGTCAAGTGAGCCAAATCTACTTTTGCCGCTCTCATGGTTTTGTGTTCACTTAACATCAGGTAATATTTTCTCATGGTTATATTGAATCTTTTTAATTTGTTTTTTTGTTCCCTTTTGATGACAGTATTGTTCTTGTTTTCCTTTTTTCCCAGGCTTGGCGTAGAGTCCATCAGGGGAATTTCCAATGTTTGGTCTGACTGAACTTTCATTTCTTCAGAGAATCAGAATGTATTTTAATATTTTGTATTTGCAATGCTTCTTTATCCAATTTATATTTTGCATCATATGTTCTATTTAGTTTTCTGAAATATTAATATCATTAGAGCAAAAATGATAGGTAGATATAATGAGTAGAAGCAAAAATCTTCTAACATGCTTCTTTTTTCTTTTTCCTATAGGTAACCTCTGCCTATACTTATCCTTAAAGTTAATCCTATTCAGCTAACTGCTTTAACTTTATTGTATTAAAGTGTTAGAAAAGCTTATGAGTGGAAACACCAACTAACCATAACATTAAGACCACTGATAACTAAAGTGTGTGAAGCCTGTAATCTTGTTCCAACACAGCAATCTCCGGGGAATACCTGCATGCTGGCATGAAAGAGACTTTATTTTGATCTCTCTCTGACGCAGCAGGAACAGCTTGGGAAACCTCAACACTTGTTTATAGTTCAGAGTCTGCAGTGAAAGCTGTGATCTGTTCATCCAGAATTCAGGCGTTTAAGATCGCCAGAAGCATTTAAGCATTATTTTAATGAAAAAAATTAAATCAAATCAAAGGGAACTTACCTTAAAGCAAGGCTCTAGAGTTGATATCCTAACACCAGAAACACCCACAGATGTTTTAATGTCAGTAACTGAGCTTTCAAATATTTTGATGGCCAAAAGATATTGATTCTGAGCAGCTGGTCTTTATGTTATCATAACATGTTTGGTTTACTTTTTCTCTAAATGTATATTTTAATTTGTTATTTTATTGTAACTTTTACACTTTTCATATCAACACCATTTTTAAAGTCAATGAATTAAAAACCTAGAGAGGAGACCAACTTCAGCTTCAGCCAATCAACGTCGTGATTGCACCAATCATCTTTCAAGATCCCCTTCATTTAGCTCCTAAGTTAGCCTCCCTCCAGCTCACCAGCGAACTTTCATCCACCTCCAACCCATCCCCTCCCTCACTCTCTGACTATTCAGTCCCACTCACCCTCTGACTAGTAATGTCGATTCACAGCATCAGAATATTCTACCAGGGCCCGAGCATCAAATAAGTTATTTCATTCCTTGCAATAAAACTTTTCTAATCGCAGTTTTTCTCTGTGTGAGTCTGTCCAGGATGAAATGGTTCACTCTGAGCTCAAGTGACAGACACGAACAGGCCTGAAGAAGATGTGGAGACCATTATGCTGCCTGTGACATTGTTCAGCATGATTTGTATTAGTGTGTGTGCACACGACATGTTGGAAACCGTAAACCATATACCAGTCTTATCTTTACATTTGATGAACATGTTTACATTTTTCCACTGCTGCACTTTAGAAATGGAAATGTCTTGAGAGCTGTACTGAACGAAATTTTGTTTTGTATACATTCTGTGTGCACAAAATGACAATAAAGTCTGTAAGTCTCAGTTTAAGGGCGTGTGATTTATTTATTTTTGGTGTGTTTAATATGAGCGACATGTTGGGTTGTTTCATTCCTAATTTATTTATTTTTACAGTACATGAAGAACTACTGAAATTATTTTTAGATCACACATAAATAGATTCATTAATTCCTTGGGGGGGAAATGTAATTAATTTAGGGTTAGGATTCACTTGGTGATAGACTTAGACTTAGAAAGACTTTATTGTCATTATGTACACATAGAGTGTATACAAAAATAAATTTTGTTCAGTACAACTCTCAGGATATTTTCATTTTTTAAAGTGCAGCAGTGATATATGTAAACATATGACAGTATATGATTTACAGTTTCCAACATGCAGGTTGTTGTTTTTTTTTTTTTTATAAACCCCATTTTATACAACATTTAGCAGTCTAATGGTGGTGGGAAAGAAACTGTTCTGGAATCTGCTGGACCTGCATATGATGCTTCAAAGTCTCTTCCCAGAGGGCACAAGGGAGAACAGTCATTTGTAGAATAACAACCTACTCAGCCTACTGGCACAATTTAGAGCCATTCTCTGGGCCTGATAACCGCTAATAAAGGCCATTTAATGCAACGATGACATCAGAAGCAGCCGCAAACTGCCACTTAGTATTAATTATGTAATAGAGGACAGAATCAACATGAGGAGGAACTTCATGAGATTATGCAAAGGTTCCATCTATTAGAACAACTTTTTAGACTTCCTGTTCACCTACTGCCAGCTGATTTAACCTAAACAGAATACATGCATCCACTACGTTTCAACAAATAAACCTGTAATTTTAATGTGGTCACAATAGACTACGGAAAGCCGTTTTGATATGTATTAATTATACTGAATATATGTCACTGATATTTGAAAAATAAAACTGTCTTTGTTTAAATAATCATCTAAAAAAAACAACACAGTCTTCACATCTAGAATAAACATTCTGATCTGCCCTTATCAGGCTGTAAGAGGAGATGGTCCTGAACACTATTTATCATACAGAGCATCCCTCGGTTTAGTCACGAATGCATCCACGAGAGGGCCCACACAAACTTCTGAGCAGGAACTTGAGTTATTGTGAACATGCTTCAGTAAAAGTCACTAGTCTGCTGCATCAGTTTTCTTTTTCACTATCTTTGTGACTTCCTTTTAAGGATTGGATCGACCATTTTCATTAAATGATGTGACCTTTAGTCCTAACACATTACCCATGTAACACCAGTTGGATTATTCTGTATTTTTTTCTTTCCTATCAAGATCTAATGTGTTGTCAAAGTGCTCCCTTACTTTCACGTTTTTCTAAGCAGTCTACTGTATGTCGTGAATTTCAGAATATCGGAATTTTATGAGTCCAGATGGTTACAATCAAAATTTAGTAAAAACAAAATAAATAAATAGCCCTGCTATTTACACTGTGAGGTTATGTCTCTAGTAAGCAAATGTGATAGATCATCTGCTGGAGTGGAGGTCTCTGTTTGACTGGCACCTTGAACGCCCAACCAATATTTTCACACATTTGTTTCTATTTCCATAGCACAAAAAAATGGGCTTGGTGTAGATAGATTTTATGCTAAATTCCCGTTTGAAGCTACGAAGCACACCAAGCCACTATAGCTCAAGGTAGATAAGATTTTGCACATTGTCATAGAAGTGTAAGCAACTGCATACAAAGCCTGATTATCAGCTGAAAGCAGAGGGCGCCTTCTTATTACACAACTGTTTTCAGGACAGGTTTTATTTTTCAAATGACACTTAAAATCTCCTTATCTAATGCAAACACGGGCAAATGGCTAACCCAAAAGTGTCTACAGTTACATAGAGAAATTTCCTTAACTGTATTTAATGTGTGTTTAAACTGTTTTGGTGTTTTTGATTCTTGTATGGAGAATATATATATATATATACATATATATACATATATATAC